TGGCCAGGCTGGTCTCAAACTCCTGACCTCAAGTGATTGGCCAGCCTCGGCCTCCCAAAGTGCTTGGATTACAGGTGTGAGCCACCATGCCTGGCCTTGTGGGGTTATTTTCGAAAGTCCTTGAGACAGTCCCTATATCAGACATGCAAGCATGAGCCCTTCTGCTTGGTGTTCTCATGACTCCAATTTGTTTGGACTTGACAATGTGATTTTTGTCCCGGTATCTGCAACTTTCACAAGATGGAGCAACTCAACACTAGATTCCATCCCAAATTATTCCTTCATTCACTCAAAAAGTATCTAGGCACCAATGTGTTAGGTACCGTGTTGGTCACAGGGGATACCACGATGAACAAGAGAAGGAACCCCAGGCTCCTGAATGCGAGAGTGAGGCATGTGGAAAACAGACACGGAGAGCTGGGTGTGGTGGCTCATGCCTGTAATCCCAGTGTTTTGGGAGGCCAAGGATGGAGGATCGCTTCTGTCAGGGAGTTGGAGACCAGCCTGGACATCCTAGTGAGACTCCTGTCTCTATCAAAATAAAAAAATAATAATAAAATTAGCTGGGTGTGGTGGGGTGCACCTGTAGTCCCAGCTACTCGGGAGGCTGAAATGGGAGGATCACTTGAGCCCGAGAGTTTGAGGGTGCAGTGAGCTGATATCAGGCCACTGCACTTCAGCCTGGGCGACAGAGCGAGACCCTGTCTCAAACAAAACAAAACAAACTACCACCACCAGACATGAGGGCCAGTGCAGCTGTAGCCTGAAGATCAAGGTAGAAAAGTAGAGGCCAGACCGGGGCCAGATCAGGCAGGGCCTTGCAGGCTGTGGTTAGTTGTCTGGATTTTATTGTGAGGGAAATAACACGACATGTCATTCATTCTGCAACAGCCTTAAGAACTAGGGAGTTCTTATCCCAATTTTACAGACGAGGACGATCAATCAAGTCGTTAACTAATTTGTCAAAGGTCACCCGCAGGCGACAGGCGGGGACAGGGTCTGGGAAAACCGGCAGGCACCGAGGCC